CCCTGGCTTTTCTGGAACTCACTTTGTAGACCAGGCTACCCTGGAATAAACAGATTCTTTTGCCTCTGCCTCTCCAATGCTGGGATTAAAGATTTGTACTCCCACACCTGGCTTGAAAACAAATGAGCAAAATCCTAGTTTTGTTAAAACTCAGTTTTCAAAGTAACAAAAGCCTGACAGACTTGGCAGAAAATTATCTTCATGACCAAGACAAAATGGCTGTCACTTGAAAGCAGCTTTTGGTCAATGTCCTTGAGCTCCGGGCAGCGTCTCAGGAGCCTTGTGTGAGGCAGAGGTTGGACTTGAGCATGGGTCGGGTGCTGCACTGCACTGGGTTTCAGTGCCCTAAGCAGCGAGCCTCCAAGCATTGTAGGCTGCAGACCCTGTGACCGACTCCAACCGCCCTGCACACGCCACTCACACGTGTTAGTTTTACTCTCGTCTTATCTTTTCCATTTTGGAAAAGTCTAGTCATTTCACCTGAGGAGAATCTTAATTTACACCCGCAGACCTTCTTCTTAACTAAAAATACCCTTTTCCTTTCCACCTTCCTCACCCAGAACGCCTCTCCACACTCACTGCCTTTGTGTCTTCTCCTGTTCACTGTCTCTGTTTACTGTTTACTTCCTGACCAGAGACTTGTCTGTTCAGCTGCATCCGTGAAAAAAAGGTAGGCATCACTGTAGCTGACGAGGGGACGCTTGTCTGTCCAGAGTCTTTAGTACTGCTTGAAGTTTTTTTTTTTTTTTTTTTTAAAAAAAACAAGCCTGGGGCGGTGGTGGCGCACGCCTTTAATCCCAGCACTTGGGAGGCAGAGGCAGGAGGATTTCTGAGTTTGAGGCCAGCCTGGTCTACAGAGTGAGTTCCAGGACAGCCAGGGCTACACAGAGAAACCCTGTCTAGAAAAACCAAAAAAAAAAACCCAACCAAACAAACAAAACAAAACAAACAAACAACGTTGAGATAGAGAATTACAGAGTATTCCGTTCCTGTAGAAGCTGACTAGGATAACAATTGACCTTAGTCGGGAATTGTCTCAGCTTAAGCCCCAGACTGGAGACACAGCCAACAATGTTGCAACAATGTTGTGTGTTGACCTTGTAATTGCAAGTTTTAGATTCCAGATGCAGTTGTTCCCTCCTCTGCCCCCCCCCAAAAAAAAGAAATAGCAAGTTTCTATTGCAAGGGGCAGAGGGGGGAGAGATGGAGCAGGGGGGGAGGGGAGGCTGTCCAGCGGTGGGGACTGGAGATTCTGTTGGGTCCAGTGATGGCAGACTGGACCTAGAACAGTTGTGTTTGGGGCAGGTCTGTCAGAGGTGAGAAAACACAGACCCAGATAGTGGTCTATGCCTGTCAGCTGCCTTGTCAAGGGCACAGAGGTTGGGGTGTGATAGTTGTTCTCTGGGTTTCCCACCTGAAGTCTTGGAATGTGTGTGCATGAGAGGGAGTGCGGCTGGAGGGAGGAGTCAGAGGGAATGGAAGGGTGCTGGTCTAGGAGAATCCGGAGTACCATCGAGGATGCCACCTAAGGCTGGGTTCAAGGGCGGCTGCCATGAGAGGCTCCTGTCTAGGTCCCATGCTAACTAAGGACATGAAGGGGGGACTTTTTTCTTAAAATGATAGCAAAGAGATCCAACTGTAGGACAGGGTTGAAACTCGGTGTGGCCAGATTTCATTACAAAGGAAAGTAAGGTTTTGTTGGCTTCGTCTTTTGAGAAGTTGAAGATACAATTCAGAGAGTGTGAGTCAGAGGTCATGAAACCCATCCTATACTAGAGATGCGCGCTCCCGAAAAGCCTCTTCAGAGGGCGGCAGTCTGACTTGACTGATGTTTGCACTAACCCAGGACATCCTCCGAGAACAGAGGCCTCCTGATTCATGGGGCGAAACCCAGTTGGTCAGGCCAGACTGACCTCAAAGACAGACACACAAATAGCTGGCCAGAAAGGGGGGCTCACTGTCCCTGAGAGAGTGAAACTTGGGTTGGCCACAGGTCTCTTGGTTCAGAAAGTCTGGTTGGGGCGGGGAGATGGGCGGAGTTTGTTGTTGGTTGTCTGTGGTGCTGAGGTCTCAGCCCTCAAACCTGTTCCTTTTTCTGTGTGGTTCCTCCTCCCTCTGAGTGGAAGCTGTGCTGTCAGAGGTGAGGAGACACGTACGCTTTTGTCGTTAAGGAAAGAGTGTCTCTTCCACAGAACTTTGCATATTCACTTCCCGTGTGAAAGGGCACGTTGGCAAACATGGCACAAACCTTACGGGAAGGTGGGCAGGAAGAGAAGACATTAATGAACATTAAACAAGTTGATGTAGGGGCTGAAAAGGCCGCTCAGTGCTCAAGAGAGCACAGCACTCCTGCAGAGAACCCAGGTTCAGTTCCCAGCACCCAAGTCAGGCAGTACCTGCTGCCCGTGAGTGAGTCCCAGGACAGACAGGGCTATGCAGAGACCCTTGTATTTTTCTGGTTGCTACTATCTATTCTGTGAGTAACCTGCTCATGTCTTCATTTTTTCCCTTTGAAAATTTTTCTTATTCATACATGAAAGCCCTTTTTTCTAGGATATTATCTGTTAAAACACTGTCTTTTCTCTCCATCTATTCTTTAAAAGTATTTAATTCTTGGGGCTGGAGAGATGGCTCAGCGGTTAAGAGCACTGGCTGCTCTTCCAGAGGTCCTGAGTTCAACTCCCAGCAACCACATGGTGGCTCACAACCATCTGTAATGCCATCCGATTTCCTCTTCTGGTGTGTCTGAAGACAGCATCAGTGTACTCACATACATAAAGTAAATAAATAAATCTTTAAAAAATAGAAGGGTATTTAATTATTTCTCTTCAAAATTTCCCTCGTGACTTCATTTCCACTTTAGGAAGATCGTGCCGGCAGAGGCCGGATGAGGGAATGAGACTCCCAGAGCTTCCTATTACCCACGGGTCTCTTTGTTCAGAAAAGTCTGGCTGGGACAGGGAGACAGAACTGGAACTCACTCTGTAGATCAGACTGGCCTGAAACATACAGAGATCCAGCTGCCCCTGCCTCTGCCTCCCAGTTACTAGAATTAAAGGCCTGTGCCCCTGTGACCAGCTTAATGAGACCATTTTTCAATCCATCCTGTTAGCAACATGGAAGGTGGTCATGCTGCAGAGTAAAGCCTGGCGGGCTTGCACATGCTCTCCCTCAGAGCATCCCCCCTCAGCAGATGCTGTACCTCGTCCACACACATGCAGGCTTAAAGCTTTGGAGACACAGTCTGACAGCCGGGGTGAGGAGAGGTCTGTGTCTCAGACTCACAGTGGAGTAGTCGTTACAGTCATCAGAGAGTAAAACAGACAGCGAGTTCCTGGGGAAAAGTGAGAGATGCTAAATGAAAAAAGCCATGAGGAGGAAGAGCTGTGAGCTCACCCCAGCCCGGCTCCGCAGTGAGACCCTGTGTTAGCTCAGCTCACCCCAGCCCGGCTCCGCAGTGAGACCCTGTGTTAGCTCAGCTCACCCCAGCCTGGCTCTGCAGTGAGACCCAGTCTCATAAAAACACCAAGATGAACAGTTCCTGCTGTCAGCCTTTGGGACATATTCTACCACATGTGATGTGCTTGCCCCAAGCACTCTGTTAGTTTGAGTGGGATGTGGTGACCCATGAAAAGGTAGAATCACAAGCTTGAGACCTGCCTAGGCTGCAGTTACAAAGTGAGTTCTAGGACACATTGAGACCCTCTCAAAACACATACTCAACACACATTCACACACACCATAGCTAATAAAATAAATTGGGAATTTCAGAGGGGGGAAAAAAAGGCCAGTTGCCAAATACATCTGAGTAAATGTGCATAGTGTGGTCACAGCTCCAAATAACTTGTCATGTGCGGGTGTGTGTGGACCGAAGCAGGACTCGGGGATTGCAGCAAACTGTTCGCAGTTATGATCTTAAGCTGGATGTGTTTGTATACACACAAGCACACACACACAAAATGTAAAAACAAAACAAAACAAAAAAAAAAACAAGTGAGTTAAACCATCCATATAAGCCTGAGCATACTGACACATATAAACTCACACTCACATAAACACACTGCACTCATACACACTATGTACTGACACACTCATATAAGCACACTGCTCACACACAAACACTTCACTCACATAAACTGCATGCTCACACATGTATAAACACTAGGCACTTACACATAAACGCTCAGAACTCACAGTCAAACACACTAGGCATGCTCACACGTAAACAAGTCCTATGTAAACACTTGTTCATGTAAACACACTGCACACACGTAAACACACTGCATGCTCACACTCAAACACTGCACCTTCACACTCACATAAACACACATTGCACGCTCACGTGCTCCACACACAGGCCTACCCTGCTGTGAGCCCTGATGGGAAGAAGTTGAAGGACGGAAGCCAGAAGCAGGTCCTTGCTAAGTGGGACAGCTCGATCAGGAGGGTTTGCGGCAGGTCACAGCAGGAAGCCTACCCCACCCTGATGTGGTTTCAGAGTGGATTGGCACCTTGGCTAGCTGTGTAGGCCCTTCCATCCTGTGGCAGTTACAGGTCAGCCCTGCATCTGTGCCACCCTCCTGGTAAGCGAACTAATTTCCTGGAACCAGCAAGGCCTAGTATCCCATTGCCTTTTACTCTAGGAGGAAATATGAAATAGGCCCACGGGCATGAATGCTGCCCCAGCCACTCGCCTGCCTCTGGCCCGAATGAGTTCCAGGACAGCCAGAACTATACAGAGAAACCCTGTCTCGAAAAAACAAAACAACAAAAAAAAAATCGTCAAAAGAGTTTGAAGTCGTCCTCGGTGGCGGGGCCAGAAAGCGTCATTTGCTGTTGTAACACTTGGAAGAAACTGAGATTGTCTGTGGGGAACTAGTCAGGGTGTTCTAAACGCCACACTTATGCCTTATGTGATTGTTAGTGGATGTGGGGTTAAGAGAATCCAAGATGGCAGCCCCGCGGAGCCCCGGCTGACTGCTCACTGTCTCTGCCCCTAGCTTACACGGACTTCTTCCTGCCGCTGCTGAGTCGCTGCCCGTCTGCCATGGGGATAAAGAATAAGGATGGGGAGACGCCTGGGCAGATTCTGGGCTGGGGACCTCCCTGGGATTCTGCTGAAGAGGAAGAGGATGAGGAGGTCTCCAAGGAGCGGGAATGGCAGCAGAAGCTACAAGGCGAGCTGGAGGATGAGTGGCAGGAGGTCATCGGGAGGTTTGACGGTGAGGAGCCCATTGCCACCCGAGCTGCCCGCCCGCCCTCCCTCCCCTGGCCCTCTGCATGTGGCATCTCCGTCTCTACACACACACACACACACACACACACACACACACACACCAAATCACAGCCTCTAACACCCTCATCCCACCTCCCAAACAGATGATGCCTCCCAGGACGCACAGGAGCCCGAGTCCTTCTCAGCCTGGTCAGAGCGCCTGGCCCGGGAGCATGCCCAGAAGCAGCGGCAGCTGGAGGCAGAGGGATCCCGCCGACCCCCAAGGGCTGAGGGCTCCAGTCACAGCTGGCGGCAGCAAGAGGAGGAACAGCGGCTTTTCCGAGAGCGAGCTCAGGCCAAGGAGAGGGAACTGTGTGAGAGCCGAGCCAGGAGGGCTCAAGAGGCACAACGGGACAAAGGGCCAGAGCCTCCCAGGGCTGGGCCCAGGGCAGAGCACCCACGAGGGGCAGGGAGGGGTAGCCTCTGGCGCTTTGGTGATGTGCCCTGGCCCTGCCCTGGTGGAGGGGATCCAGAGGCCATGGCTGCAGCGTTGGTAGCCAGGGGCCCCCCTCTGGAGGAACAGGGGGCCCTGAAGAGGTATTTGAGAGTCCAGCAGGTCCGATGGCACCCTGACCGCTTCCTGCAGCGATTCCGAAGCCAGATTGAGACCTGGGAGCTGGGCCGTGTAATGGGAGCTGTGACAGCCCTTTCTCAGGCCCTGAACCGCCACGCAGAAGCCCTCAAGTGACTCTAGGGACTGAGCAAGAACCTGTGGGGATGTAGCCTCAAGGATAGCCGAAAGGAAGCAAGGTCATGGATGGGCATGGAGAAGAGGCAGCTACGGCCCAGAGAGGATATGGGTCGGGTCGGCTAACGTAATGAGTGCGGGGGTGGGGGCGGGGAGGCTCTACCACTGCTCTGGACTGCCATTTCCTAATAAGACTTGGTTCCACACCTAACTCCAGAGTCTCCTCTGTTTTTTCCATTGCTATGGTTTTCATCACCCATGACATCTCCTTTCCCGCCCAATTGTTGAAACCCACAGCTCCCACACACCTGCCGCACAGTCACAGTGCGCTCTCAACAGAGACCAGAAGCCCCTGCCTGCCCTCCCGCAGAAGGCCGGGTTCATCTTCCAGACCCTCTCAGCTCCCCACCCCAACCCCCAACCCCTGCTGGGGTCCTGACAAGATTGCAGTAGAAGAAAAATGTGAGCAAGAGACAGAAAAAGGAACAACTCCCCACATCCCCAACCAGAACCAACCACATCCTCAGCCTACCCAGCTCAGGGCTTTCCCTCTGCTGAGTCACTGAATGATCTGGGTTGGGGGCAGCAAGGCTAGGGGACCACGAGGACCTGGGAGTACAGAAGGTAGAACCAGGGGGGATGGAGGAGGGGCCCTGTGGGGGAGGGAATTTCAGTTGCTAAAATTAGAAGCAGGAAGGAGACTGGAAAGGGCCAGATTATGTAACCTGGGTTGTCTGTTCTTGGGCAACGAGAGATCCACACCCGAGCCTATCCGGGCTTCTAAGCCTCATCTCATCTTCTCTGGGGCTCCAATCATGGTATCTGCTGCTCGTCAACCACACCCAAAACCTGGACTGCAGCTCTGGGCCATCCAGGCTTGGCCTAATACAGAAACATCTACTTAAGAACCAGTAGTTGAGATCTTAGGGATTGGAGAGCGAAGGTCTGAGACTTGGAAGACGGAGTAGAGCATCTGTACCACTTTACAGAATTCAGGAGCTCTTTGGAAATGGAGACATTGTATCCAAATCCCACTGCCAACACCTGAGATACAACCGTGTCCTTAATAGTTGAGACAACACAGGAAGGAATTGTGCAGGTGTCTGCTATGTTAGCTGTGTGTGGTCCAAAGGGTCATGAATGGTCAGGGTTACAGTCCAGCCTACTTCAGGGGTCCCCCACACTACACACGAAGGAGAAGCTGTTGGAGACAGGATGGGGAGGGGCTGAGACCCTCAGAGGAATCATCTGGAGGTTAGGAAGAGGCCCAAGCCCCCTGACCCCAAGACTAGGCAGATTCTGAGCCGTGGGAGGGGCAGCTCTGTGAGAGGAAGCTGCCGAGATTCGGAGAAGAGACCTGGAACTGTGAGCAACCCAGGCATCCGGTTCCTCTCACAGGCTGGGGATCTCGGAAGTGGCATGCAAAGAGCCCATGCAGAAGTCGGGACCCCTGAGCTGGGGCCGAGGGGGGGGGCAGCCGCGCCCACCGCTCCCAGATTTTTCATTCTAGAGTGATTAATTTCCTCTTCTACAAGAATTACATGAAACCGAAGTAAGATAAGCTATGATACCCTCCCCACCCCACCTCAGCCTCCCTCTCTAGCCCTCTCTGGTGTCTGTCCCCCAGGCCTGGTGGGGGTTCCCCTGAGATAAATGCTGTTCACTTTCTCTGACCACATGGTTTCCGCTTCTGCATCTCTCATTTCCTAGGCTGATAAAAATACTGAGTCCCAGAGGCCCCGGCTTCCTCTGACCCCCTGGTACCAGGCAGCAGGCATCCTGTCCACCCACTGTGGTGGGGGTAGGGAGGAACCTCAGGGATCCCCAAGTGTTGACTCAATGCCCTACCGTGCAACAGTAGTTGCTTTGGAAATGTCTCCCTTCCCTCCAGCTGGGCCCAGGAGTTGGATCTCTGGGGTGGGATGCTTTGGGGCTCAATTTGAGAAACAAAGTTAGGAAATAAACTAGAAATTGAACGTCTGCCTGGGGACAAGTGGAGGGTGGGTTTCAGTTAAATTAGGAAAGGGATCTGGGCTTCTGTCTGGCACATGTCAGTGGAGCGTCACGGAACCCAAAGGATTCAGACTAACTCTGCTTCAGGGAACGCACCCATAGCCTAATGACTGAAGGCATGAGTTGCTGCCTTCACAGAAGGGCCCATGGGATCCAGGCAGGAGGCTCCCCAGAGGCCAGGGACAGAAAATCCCTGAGAGCACTGAGTGGAGGCTGACCAAAGAGCTTGGGCCCAGGCTGAGATGCCACAAACAGTGCGTGAACTGGTGTGAGCTGGAACATGCTGGTACACACTGAGTGTGTCTGCAGGCCAAGAAGCACAGGTGTGGGAAAGCCTGTGAGAAGAAGGTTGTTAGGAGTCTGGCAGTGGTGGCGCACGCCTTTAATCCCAGCACTTGGGAGGCAGAGGCAGGCGGATTTCTGAGTTCGAGGCCAGCCTGGTCTACAGAGTGAGTTCCAGGACAGCCAGGGCTACACAGAGAAAGAGAGAGAGGAAGGTTGGGATCGGGGAATTGGGATTTTTTACTGCAGTGGAGACCTGGGGCACCTGTGAAGATCAAGAATGTGGGAGGGTGCTGCGGGGTCTGGACTGACTACCGCATGAGCTCAGCTTTTCTGATCACTGCATTACTGCTGGGGATTCCAAGATAGGGCACAGTGGCCCTCCAAGGGCTTGGAACTGACTGAGGAGACCCAGAAGAAGGTCCCTGCCGTCTCTCAGGCTTTCCCTCGGCCCTTCTCCCTGTCCCAGAGCCACTCTCAGGCTACAACCCTTGCCTATCTGGGTCACAGAAGCTGGGAGCCCTCTTCACAAAACCAACCAGAAAACTTAAACTTCTCTGTCCCGTCTCCCTATGTAAAAGCTGTCCTTAGTCCTTAGATGAATTCTTTGAACCCTGCTGTCTGGCTGGCGGTAGGTCATAAACCCCGCAGAGGCCTTGGGAGAAAGCTCTTGCCATGGATGGGCCTAGCTGAGTTCCCTGGCTCCGTATCTATTAAGGGACAGCCTCTGTCCAGTCATATCCAGCTGTTCCGTATGCATCAAGTCTAAACCTAAAAGCTGACAGCCAGCCAGGCTTTGACTCGAAGACTCCAGCTGCAAAAAAGGTTCTTCAAGTGCTTTTCTTTTGTTAATTTGTCTCTGCAACAGCGTGAGCTGCTGCCCGTATGTGGGGTAAGGGAAGAGGTGACACCCTTCAGCCCCTATACTGTCAACATCTCTCCAGAACGTTCCCGGTGAGAGACCCTCTCTCAAAAGGAAAAAGAGAAAGAAAGAAAGAAAGAGAGAAAGAAAGAAAGAAAGAAAGAAAGAAAGAAAGAAAGAAAGAGGGAGAGAGAGAGAGAAAGAGAGAGAGAGAGAGCAAGAAAGAGAGAAAGAAAGGGAAGGTGGACTGGGCAAAGGAAGACCACCAAGCCTGAAAACCTGAGTTCTACCTGCATAGTGGAGGAAGAGAACTGATTCCTACAAACTGTCCTCTGACCTCCACAGTGCCCTGTGGCACTCATGCACACCACAAATAAAAATGTAATTAAACTTTTTTACCCAGGCAGCGGTGGCACATGCCTTTAATCCCAGCACTTGGAAGGAGAGGCAGGTGGATATCTGAGTTCGAGGCCAGCCTGGTCTACAGAGTGAGTTCCAGGACAGCCAAGGTTACACAGACCTCTCAAAAAAAAAAAAATGTAATTAAACTTTTTAGAAAGATGGATGGGGCTAGTCTTCGTGGCACATGCCTTTAATCTCAGCACTCAGCAGGCAAAGGTAGGTGAATCTCTGAGTTCTAGACCAGCCCGGTCTACATAGTGAGCTCCAGGACAGCAAGGGCTACACAGAGAGACCCTGTCTCATGGGAGGGGTGTCCGGGGAATAGTGGAGGGCTCCTGAGAAAGAACCAAGATTGGATTCTGGCTTCTACATACACATGCACACAGATAATGGGCACATGCACACCTACAAGACAACTACGATAGTCTATAAACTTAAGGGACATGAATGTATGACACGTGGTTGTTGGTAGGACTTGGGAAGTTCTTAGATCACACCCGTTTCAGCTGCCTAAAGGGTTGGATGGATGGCAGTGGCCCAAAGCAGGGTTCATGGCTGAGGGAAAAGACGAGGGGTTCCATTTCAGAGAGTGTCATGGATTCAGACAAGATATCGCTCCACAGTGGGTAAACATGAGGCCACTGTCAGAACTCTGGGGAAGCTACCTGCCTAAGGCACTTCAGTGCTCAGCTCAGAGCAGCCATGACCGGCGGGGAAACTTCCAGCAATCGGGGGTGGAACGTAGCGCTTGGGCATCTTCTCAGAAGAGGTAAAGCAGCCGGAGAAGTAGAACGGAGAGATGGGGCGGGGGCGGGGTCAGCCAGAGAAGTAGGTGCAAGTCAAGTCGGGATGGGGGCAGCCATGGCTTAGGCCTCAAAGAGATCTGCTAGGCGAGAATTGAAAGGACCTCGTAGGTTCACAAACGAGACAATTACGAATTTTAAGAGAGACAATTTCGTTTTATTAGAAGGGAGAGTTGCTTTTCACATTGAGGAATGAGTGGGCGGTGAGCTGAGGGGTGGTGGGTACAAAGAACGGCGGAGACAAGAGTCTCTCTGCCCACGAGTCTTGATGATGGGGAAAATCTTACCAGTTCCTGTTAGTCAGGGGGCCTGGTGTTCTGAAACACCGCACGAGGGAAGGCGAGAGGGAAAAAGATTCCAGGGAGGGAATTTAAAACTTATCTTCAAGAAATGACACTGAATATGTCCGTTAAACAAAGGAATGGTACATAAGATAGAAAAGACACTGGAGAAGATTGAGTTGGCATGGAGGGGGAAGGGATTACAGATTGAAGGATCAATTGCAAAAAGAAAAGATACTTCCAAGAAGGGAGTAAAGAGGAAGGGTTAGTAACAGAAAGGCAAAGAAGAAAGCAGGGAGAGAAGCCATGTCAGGGGCTTAAGCTCAGTGGAGAGTGGGGGAGGTCGAGGGTGAAAGGGATTTGGAGAACACTGGAGAATCCCTCCGAGACTGGAACCCGGGCAAGCAGCCTGCCAGCCCACTGGCAGCCCCTCGTGACCGATTCCGAAGCTCAGGAGGAAAACCCAGGAAATGCCTTTCATTTCCTCAAACTGAGATCTTCGAGGTCTTTTTGCTTCAACATTGGGTGGGAAAGAGTTTCAAAACTGAGAGCGTAACTGAAATTGT